GTTGGACTCAGCAGCTTGTTGGAGAATGGTCATGTGGTGTATGTTCCACCCGGAGATGGACAAAAGGAGAAGTTCCTGCACACTTTCCATGTGAGACCAAGGTTGGTGGATCCTGGGCCTCCAAAAGAAGAGCTGGTAGTCGCCGAGTCACCTAAGCCGAGGAGGAGGATTCCCGAAAAACGCCCTCTACATGAAGTGGAAATGAGAAAACTACAGTTAAGTCGCGAAGAGCTCAGTGAATATGCCAAGGACCGGTCTAAGGCTTTGCTGGACAACTGGTCCTATGAGGAGGCCGAGCGTTTGGTGAAGGAGCTGGCGCTCTCGGACTTCTTTGATGACGTGAAGTTCGGGGTCTATCGGCATGGTGGTGTTGTTGGACCGCTAAGTGGTCAGACCGACTACCCAGAGGTGACTCAGGTTCTCAGCAAAATGATTCAGGAAGTGACTCCGGAAGCTACGTACACGGCTATGTGGGTCACAAAGACGTCAAAGCTGGGAATTCATAAGGATGTGAACAATGATGAGGCTACCGAGAACTTCGTCCTACCCATTGCGATTCCCAGCCAAGGAGGTGGACTATGGGTTGAGCTGGCAAGGGGTGATAAAGTGCAAGGGGAGCTATGTGAGCGAGAAGATGAGAGGGGGCGGCGACGCTATGGTCAACTTCTACCACTACAACCTCGCGAACACGTACGACTCAATCCACGACGAGCTCATGAAGTTCAGCCCTGGAAGGGGGAAAGAGTAGTACTCATTGCATATACCCCGCAGTGTATGGGAAAGTTGTCAGCCAACATGATCATGGACTTGGAGTCGCATGGTTTTCAGCCGCCTTTGACGCAGATGCCAGAGTACTTTATGAGTGGAGACGATGTGAGGGCAAAGTTGGTTTCGATCGCTCCACACCAGCGGGATGAAAGCGAGAGAGACTGGAAGGAGCCGCGCGACTTCGAGGAGGACCCATGGGAAATGTTCATCGAGGTGGACATTGAGTTAGTCAAGGTGGGCACTTCAGAAGTGGATGGGCCGGAAGGAGGCCCGATGGTGGCTAAGGTGGAGGTCAGCTACACGTACAATATAGAGGAGATCCTGCAGGAGCTCAAGGCCCCACTGGAGGTTACTCATACAGTCTCTCCGAAGGAGGCTTTCGCCTGCATTGAAAAATGGCGAGATGCGATAACCAAGGAGATGAGCAGCGTCGAGGTCGCCATACAGAGGTTGCGTGTGGGGACGGAGGAGCGGAGAAGCTGGCTACGCGATCCCCGCGCTCAGCGTCTACCAATGAAGTTGGTCTTTACTGTCAAGCCAAACCCGAAGGCCGATGTCAACAAGCCGGAAACGTTCTACCGCCGAAAGGCTCGCCTAGTGATCTGCGGGAACTTCGCGGAGGCAGAAGCACAATCTCTATATACTGAATCTGCTCCTTCAGAGGCGGTAAGAGCGAGCCTGGTGGTGGCCACACGAAATGCGTGGTGGGTTGGTGTTCTGGATATTGTGACAGCTTTTATCAGGACCCCACTGGGAGAGAGCTCAGACGACCCGGTGATCGTCGCTACTCCGCCCCGTATATTACAAGAGTTAGGGCTTATCACCAGCCAAGAATTGTGGGCGCTGGTGCGAGCACTATATGGCCTACGGCAATCACCGATGCTTTGGGCCCGATATCGGGACAGGAGAATGCAGAGTATGGTGGCGCCGCACAATTTGGTTATGTCACGAGGGCGGACTATCACTTCGTGGTGGTCGATCAAGGATCAATCAGGCAGCTTGGTGGCGATCATCTTAATATACGTTGATGACTACCTGATTCTTGGACCTAAAGAAGTTCTTCAAGATCTGGCGGCCATGGTCCAGGAGGAGTGGGAGACCTCAGATCTATCTATACTTACGGAAGATAATGAGGTGAAGTTCCTTGGCATGGAGTTGTCCTTAAAGAACGGGGAGATCCGACTGGGACAGCGAGGCTATGTGGAGGAGCTAATGAGGGCGTATGACATGAAAGATACCGATGTCTCAAAGATCCCGCTCAACAAAGACGAGGCAGTATATGAGGTGCTGTCCACAGACGCAGCGCCAACTCCAGAGATGACGCATAAGGCCCAGCAAATGACAGGTGAATTGCTATGGCTGTCGCAGCGGTCAAGACCGGATCTGAGCTACGCATGCTGTATATTGTCGTCACTAACAACCAGAGCGCCATCCCGGGTGATTTCCATGGCCTACAAGATCCTCAAGTACGTCAACAAGACCCGTGACTATCTCCTTAGAGTGGCTTGGAAGGGCGGCCAGCTCGCCTTATACCCTGATGCGGCATTTGCACCAGCCTCCAGCCGAAGCCAGTCGGGTTGGGTTATCTACTACGGAGGAACCCCGATACTGTGGAGAAGTAGCAGGCAGCCAACCACGGCACTGTCAACGGCAGAGGCAGAACTAACTGCTATCCTGGAAGGAAGTGTCGCATTATTGGGGGTCGAGGCGATGTTGTTGGACATAGCAGAGTCAGTGGATGACAAGGTGGTGGGCTCAGATTCGATGAGTGCTTTGTGTATTTCCTCTGGAACGGGAAGCTGGAGGACACGCCACCTTCGTATAAAAGCAGCCTGGCTTCAGGAAGCCATATCAGGAGGGCAGCTAAGAGCGGAGCACGTTCCAGGACTACGACAACCTGCGGACCTACTAACAAAGGCTCTCCCAAGTCAGCGGCTACGAGATCTACTACGACTGTGGATGATGATGGATGAAGCGCCCCCGTTGACGTCGTCCACGACTACAGAGTCAGGTAATAAGGCAATGGTGGCGATGTTATGCTGCATGTTGATGATTACGTCAGCGAGTGCGACGGCGGAGACGCAGCCTATTCACACTATCAGCGTGGACTGGGATACTGCAGCGATCGTGATGGGCCTGCTGATGATTGCTGGGGTAGTGGCAACATATGAGTTTCTGAAGTGGCTGGGTTCAGCAGTCATCTTCGAGTACTCACCAGGGGCTTCCGCTCGTAAGCTAAGAAAGTTGGAAAAGCTTCGGGATGCTACAGCGCGGGCGATTGAAAATGAGATTACGCGTCGAGAGCAGGAGTCCCCACCACGATCAACAACAGCGTCGACCTCTATAAGCAGGAGAAGATCAACAAGGCCAGCGAGAACACCGTCCCCGCCAACTGTGAGATTATCTACACAACTGGGGAGTCCATCAACCCCAGTATCAAGCCTACCAACTCCTATTGCGAGTCCAGAAGCTCAGCCGACAGGAGCAATGGAGTCTTCTGTTGTACGAGCGTTACCTTATGCCCAGCATAGCCCGAGAGCACAGCAGTTACAAGCTCAAGAGCATGAAGGCGAAGCTATAAGGGTCTGCAGTGACGTGGCAATGCTGATGAGAGTGGAGGAACTAAGGGAAGCGCTAAGACTGAGGGGATTGCCTACCAGTGGTCTGAAGTTAGACTTGGGGCGACGCCTAGGAGAGTCGATCGCGCCTTCCATTGGCGATCCCACGTTTCCATCTCTGCGACAAATGAGATATTTCTTATGGTTGTGGAGACACAAGGACCTCAACGGGAAGGTCCTACTACGCTGGGCGGATATGTGCAGTCGCTCGGCAGCTTCGGGTACAATCAGTGCTTGGAGTCAACGATAAGTGAGATGCGTATAAGCCCTAGCGGCAATACGAGGAGGAGTGCTGAAGCGGAAGCCCAGGTCTGACCCCGACTGATGCCATCGCTCGCCTCAAGAGGAAGGCTGCGGAATCTTTAGCCTCTTGGGTACAGCACAAGCAGTACCAGCACTAGGCTCCTGTAAAGTTTCTGAGACAACAGCCTGACGCCTTTGTACATTATAGTCAGGATGACTCAGTACTAAGTACTTTCTGTGTTGCGTGTCCGGAAAACAGAGCCCTGAATTCGCATTCGCTTGCTTCATGGTTTCAAGATGATGTCTGGAGAAGCCGATGCTGCACAATCAATGGATGCCACCAGGCATCAACAAAACCCTAAACCCCAAACCCCCTAAACCCTAAACCCCTAAACCCCTAAACCCTAAACCCTAAACCCCTAAACCCTAAGCAGCAGGATGGGAGCTCCCAAAGGTGGTGCGATGAACATGAGCTGCTTGGGACGCGTAATTTTGGGGGCAGGGTTTAGGGTGTAGGGTTAGGGTTTAGGGTTTAGGGGTTCAGGGTTAATGGTTGGGGTATATTACACTACGCATATGTTTGGAGTGTGTTATAGTATAACTAACTTTGATTCATTGAAATGTATTCTAGCAGATGAAAATCGAAGAAGGAACCGTAAGAGATAATATGGATACTTATTGCAGCCTTCTATAGTACCGTTGCATGAAAGCGTCGCGTCGACTCAGCCAGCACAAGCTGCAGTCCATGCGATGGTTTCGGGGTTTATAACCCTAAACCCGTAGACCCTAAACCCCTAAACCCTAAACCCTCAACTCTAAACCCTAAACCCTAAGCCCTATAAGCCCTCAGCCCTCAACCCTCAACCCCTAAACCCTAAACCCTAAACCCTAAACCCTAAACCCTATTAGTGAGTTTTGGGTCTTGTGGGACTTCAGGGTGTAGTGGTTAGCGGTTGCCCGGAGCATCACAGCACTTAGTAAGCAAGGTGATAGGCACCTGAGTTGCAGTTCTAAGCAAGCATAGCTAGTGTTGTCTTACTGAGAACCCTAGTTGCTAAGTCCCATGATCTGCTAGGTAAGTGCACCAAGATGATACAAGAGCCTCAAGACACAGTTTATGTGTGTTTAATCTTTTCTTATTTTGTCTTATTTTTATTTGGATCACCCCATTGCCGCTCTTTGTCGCTCGACAGAATTCTGCCAGCCCAAAGGCTAACTTCAAGCACTTAAGCCGTTAAGCCCTTGACCCCTAAACCTTAAACCCCGAACCCTAAACCCTAAACCCCCTCCGTAAACGGGGAGTGTCCTATCTGCACAGAAAAGGGGAGAGGGGTCAAAAAAAAACTATTTAAGGGATCAAAAAAAAACTATTTCCGGGATCTAAAAAAACTATTCACAGATCAAAAAAAATGCGAACAGACTTCGATGCCTCTTACAATTCTGAGGTACCACTTTGTGAGCTCTGAGACATGTATCATAAACAGGACGGAACAGGGCTGTTTTGCAGACTGTATCCAACACTAT